GGAGTCTATAAAAAGCCTTCTCATCATCCGATAAAAGCCATTTTTAGATCCTCTTCCTGCCCCCTGTGCTTGTGTGTCACAATTTTATGACTTTCTTAGAGTACGGAGTGGCAGGTTTTTATGAAATACAAATTTGAATTCTGTTAAATAATATAAGAGAAAATCTCATTTTCCCACAATCTTCTCAGACCTATATTCGTGAACTTATTTATTCAGCAAACATTTACTGAATGCCTACTAAGTATCAAGCCCTAGGTGGGCACTAGGGAGACAGATTTTTCAAACCACATTTACTATTTTCAGAAAGCTCACAGTCTCATGCACAGACACCCAGGCAAGTATGTGATAGTATGATAAAGGTATACCCAAAGTATAACAGTGTCCAGACAAGTGGTTTCCAGGGTTAATTTCAAGTTAATCTGGAAACCCTAAACATTCATGTTGTAGTCATGAATCTTAATTTCAGAATCTTAATAAATAGATACTTAGAGAAAAACTTTTAAATAAAAGTAAAGCTCCCTGTTCAGGGTATAATAGTAAAGTTTGAGCTTCATGCTTCATGTACGTCAGTATGTTGTATAAAAGTTCAATTCTTTTTGCTAAAGATTGGACCAAAATTACGACAGCTTCTTTTCCTTTTAATCTGAAGAAGTTATATTTATTTTATTTTTATTTTTTTAATGGAACGCTTCACGAATTTACACGTCATCCTTACGCAGGGGCCATGCTAATCTTCTCTGTATCGTTCCAGTTGTAGTATGTGCTGCCAAAGCGAGCACAAGAAGTTTTATTTTATTTTTTTTTTACAGTGAAAGAACATTATAAATTTACCTGGTTACCTGGTTAACACAGATTTACTTAAAACTGGTCCTCAACCATATTGGTATTTGAAAGATCTATTTTGTTTATTCCCAGATGGTAATGTTTTAAAGATAAATTATAAACAAGACCTGTATTTTATCTTGGTAAAGTAGAACATGATATTTGATCTTTAAAAAAAGAAAGATTTTATTTTTAAGTAATCTCTACCCCCAACGTGGGCCTCAAACTTACAACCCCAAGATCAAGAATCACATGCTCTGCCAACTGAGTCAGCCAGGTGCCCCGATATTTGTTCTTAATCTTCTAAAATCATTTTCAGCATCAAAGATGTTGGCCCTCACATTATTTGTAAATAATCTGCATCAGGGCCTAACTGCAAAAAATAGCAAATTGTCCCTTTCCATTGTTAGTCTTAAAATGTATTCAGTTCAGAAAGTCTGGGAGCCAGGTATGGTGCTCGTTTTCAAAGGGACTGCTATTTGAAGGGGAAGTATAACCAACAGACAATATACCCAGTAAAGTTAATAATTTAATTTGTACTTCTCAAGTCACATTTCCCTCATTTTAAATTGCTTCATTGTTTAAGTTGTCTTCAGAATTATAAACTTGTTTTATGCAATGGAATTGAATATTTTAAAATTCATTTTCCTGTGCATTTGAAATGGATGTCTACTGTTAGACTAAAATTTTACCTCATTTTGTGGTCTCTCACATAATATTTGAAGAGTTTTAGTGTGCGGATAGGTTTGAAGTCGCTGTGGAAAACTAAGAGTTCTATTATAAAATGAAAAAAAATTTAAGCTGGAATAAAGAATTATACTGTTAACATTATGTACTATTTTTGAAGTAGATTAAAATTTTGGACCTATTGTTCAGATTAGCTTTTAAAGTAGCATTATTGGGGCGCCTGGGTGGCTCAGTTGTTAAGCGTCTGCCTTCGGCTCAGGTCAGGACCCCAGGGTCCTGGGATTGAGCCTCGCATCGGGCTCCCTGCTCAGTGGGAAGCCTGCTTCTCCCTCTCCCACTCCCCCTGCTTGTGTTCCCTCTCT